GACGAAGATGATGCTTTCCCAGGATTCGTCTAATCAGCATCATAATAATATACCATCACGCTAATGCCAAACTCTGTGATGGTAAAATCAACTAACAACTTCCCTTACTGTTCATACTTTCATTACAACTAATTCATTTAGGCATATTCAATTGACCTGCATTGAGTTATTATTTTGCATGCAATGATATGGGAAAAGGTGGGACTCACGATTCAGCATGGAGAGTGTATTTATTTATTTATTTATTTATAACTAAACATCAACAGGCGTCATTGGCCCCAATCTCGTAAAAAAGGAACATTGCTAGACAAACTAAACTGATCTAGAAAAAAAAGAACTAAACCTCCGGCGAAGCAGCTGGCGAGTCAGGTCAAAGTCCAATAGTGCGGAGACCCTATTGAAGAGTCTCTGTAAACCACCGATTGCGCTGAACATGCTATAATTAGTTCGCTGTATGGGTTAGGCGCAGCATTGAATTATTCCGTAGGGCTCGGGTTTGAAACTTGTTGTCAATTTGCTCAAGGAGAACAGGGCAATCGGTGCGTCCTTGCAAAATATCTGCAATTAGCAATGCCCTTGCTGTATCTCTTCGGATCGACAGGGGTTCCAGATGGATCAGTTGCAAACGACTTTCGTAGCTAGGCAATCGGAAGGGATCCGTCCACGGCAGTTTACGTAGCGCATATCTCAGGAACCGTCGCTGTACAGACCTCACTCTTTCGACACCGTTGCTGTAGTGAGGAATCCAGACAACCGAGCAATATTCTAATATGGAGCGAGACAAGGAGCAGAACTCTGGAAGCTTTGTCGACGGCATACGAGATGTGCTGCTTGAAAGAGAGTTGTGTATCCTGCATCACACTTAGGTCCATAATTTGGCTGACGCGCTCAATTAGTGCATAACAAACCATACTTGAACATAATAGCATAGAGGTAACTCTAAGACCAGAAGGTCTCGAAGAAACGTGCTCAACTTTTTGGCTCAGATCTGGTACTATCTTCGGTACCAAGCTAATCGATGCACCCCTCGAATCATAGGAAAATCCACGAACCCCTCATATTATCTGTCAAACTTTCATAGCGGATCAAAACAAACATAGTGTAGTACTAGAATTTCGACTAGAATGGGGTACGTTAATCGATTTGCTTGGGACCAATAGGCTAGTCAAGTTATGAGCCAATTTAAAATCGTAAGTTTCCACCGGTTGATAATAGTCTCTTTCTTGCGCGAAAAAGAGATAACCGAGCATTTGAACGGGTTAACTTCCATATGATTCAGAATACACCAATCACCAAAATCATTCAACTGACGTTGAAGGAAGCAACAGTCTTCAATTGAGTGAATTCGAAGGAAGAGTTTAAGGTCATCTGCGTAAGTTAATCGTAGCCCCTCAATTACTAGATTCACGTCGTTGAACTAAAGCGGTCCCTGGGACGTGGCAGCGAACATACGGGACTGGTGATCACCAATGACAACAGTAAGATAGCGATCGGTGAGGTACGACTGAAACCATAGCAAAAGGCAGCCGTGGATACCTAGCCTGTCCAGTTTTGCGATAGATATGCGGTGATTTAATTTATCGAAGGCTGCAGATAAGTCAGTATGAATTACATCCGTCTGAGCACGATCGGACATACTGTTAGAGATGTAGGAAGTAAGGCACAGCAAGCTAGTGTCAGTGGAGCGACCAGCCATGAAACCATGCTGGTCGATACTAATATACAGCTTACGGTGAGCGAGTAACGGTTCCATAACAACGAGTTCGAACAATTTTGCAACAGCGCTAAGCGAAGTGATGCCACGGTAGTTGCCAACGTCTAACCAATCAATGCTGGCAAGAAATCCGTGTCGAACGAACCAGCTGGATGGACTTTCTGGAAGGAATGAATTCGTCACAGTGTTCGGCCGACTTATGGAGGCAGGTCAACGCCCTCAGTGGGAAACGACGCATGACACCGCTCTACGTACAGATTAACGGTGAAGCGGTTTCTGACCCTGCAATTGTAGCGGGCGAACTCGACTCGTACTTTGCCGATCTCGCAGCCATCGAGAAGTACGAAGACGAATTGAAGCGGAAAGCTAAGCTTTCGACGTCATCCATTGCAAGTTTCTCTGTTTCTTCTGACGCTGGAAACTCGGACATCTCCTGGCAGGAACGCTACAGCAATGGAAAGTCGGCGGGTCCCGAAGAAATCGGGTACCCTCTACTCAAGAGGTTACCAACACCAGGCCAGCTACGGATGCTGGAGATTTTCAACAATCTCTGGCTCACCAACTCGTATCCAGCGTCGTGGAAAGAGAGCTTAGTCATTCCCATCCCAAAAGTCAATGAAACAACCTGTGAAGCTAGCAAGTTCCGGCCAATAGCCTTGACATGCTGTATGGCCAAGGTCCTGGAGCGAATGGTCAACAGGAGGCTAAAGCATTTCCTTGAAGCCGAAAACCTGCTAGACCATCGACAGCACGCCTTCCGTCAAGGGCATGGAACGTCAACTTATTTCGCAACATTAGGGGAGGTCCTCAAGAGTGCCAACGATAGCGGTCTCCACACCGAGATCGTCTCGCTGGATATATCGAAGGCCTTCAACAGGACGTGAACGCCCCTCGTCTTAGAGCAGCTTGTCAACTAGGGGCTGTGTGGACCCATGGTCCACTTCATCAAAAAATTTTTGACCGACCGCTCTTTCAGAGTCGGCAACACGAGGTCCCAGCTTTTCAGAGAAGAGACGGGCGTCCCACAAGGTTCAGTTTACATTTTCGTGTATGCTGACGATGTACTCATCGTAACTACCGGCCCAACAGCAGCACGTAACAGGATCAAGGCCCAGGCAGCAGTCTCCGCTGTAGCCAGGTGGGCCAGCGCGGTAGGTTTCCAGCTTTCGGCCACCAAAAGCGTCAGGTGCCACGTGTGTCCATCCCGGCACCGTGTCAGCGGGCCACCTATTAAAGTTCAAGGCCAGCCCATACCACTGAAGAAGACGGTCCGTATTCTGGGGGTACTTGTTGACCGGTCACTCAACTTCGAGCAGCACCTTAAGGCGATCAACAACGATTGCCGCAGTAGGATCAACTTGATCCGTACCATCTCTCGCCTCCACGGGTCTAAAAATCGCGACACTCGTACGGTCTTGAAATGACGTGCATCGCCACCGAAAAGCTCGTGCAAATACAAGCACCAACTTTTAACACCTACGTTCGGATTGTCTCCGGTCTTCTTTCGTCAACACCCGCCAATGCCGCATGCATCGAAGCGGGTATTCTGCCCTTCCGCCATCGTATAACCAACAATCAATACGAAACCAACGATTTTAAATTGGCTCACTACTTGACTAGCCTATTGGTCCCAAGCAAACGATTAACGTACCCCATTCTCCTTCTTCTTCTTCTTCTTCTTAGCATTTCAAGCTTATTGCATATCGCATACTAGCTTATTGCGTGCTCTCAACTTAGTGTTCTTGATGCACTTCCACAGTTGTTAATTGAGAGCTTTCGATGCCTGTACCATTTTTGCATTGATATGATTGTGTGTCAAGTCCAATCATACTTCTATGCCCAGGGAAGTCGAGAAATTTTCCAACCAGAAAAAGTCCTAGACCGAACCGGGAATCGAACCCAGCCACCTCCAGCATGGTCTTGCTTTGTAGCTGCGCCTTTACCGACTGAGCTAAGTGAGGCCCTGCAGGCAGAACCCCCCTCCCATTTTATAGAGATGAACTAGCCAACGGCTAAAAATCTCTCTAATAAAGTTTAAAAAAAACGTCCTGTTTGTTGCCCTTCTTGTGTACTGGAAACATGTGCGCTAGCTTCCAACAGGATGGGAAAACGCCGACGTCCACAGACCGTTGAAAAACGTGCAGCAGTGGAGACAACAAACTGTCCAAGTGCGTTTTGAGGAACGCCGATGGAATTCCGTCAGGACAACTTGAGTTTCGAGGAAGCCGTGGAAAACATCTCGTGATTGATATTAATTCTGCTCATGGTTTGGCCAGAGAGTGGTACGTAGCTGGCAGTTCTACCAAAATAGGTTGCCAGTCGGGTATGGTCGTCACTCAGTCTCTCGTCCGTGAAGACACTAGCAAATTTTTCAGAGAACAGCTGACAGATATCTTGCGTAGATGAGGCCACGTTACCATTATGTGTCATAGACGACGGCAGACCAGCTTCATGACGTTGTTCGTTGACAAACTTCCAAAACTGCTTGGGACGTGACTTAAGCTTTCTCTGCAGTCCACGTCGATACTGACGAAAGCACCGTTTCGCAACTCGTTTGTATTCGTGATTGATCCTGACATAGTGACGTTGAAGGGATAGTGTGTGGTGCTTGGTGAATTTCCTAAGAGCGGCTCTCTTTCTGGATTTCAGTCGACAAAATTCGCTCGTATGCCATGGTGGATGGGTCGTATGATGCTGAATCATTACCAATAACTAAAGGAGGATAGTGTGGAACAGTCTTTATAAACGGAGAAACAGCCATAGACAAATGCGGAGAAGTATCCTGAGCGGTGACAAAGCAAAGGTCTAAGCTACGATTGTTCTCATTAACCACGTGGTTGATTTGCTTCAGAGTGGCGATACTGTAATGATCCAAAAGGCTTACAGCTCCAAAGTGAAATGTAGAACTGTCGTGGTCCGGATACAGGAATTGCCAAGAAATTTGCCGGTAGATTGAAGTCGCCAATGATTATCATCTCGTCAGCAGCTGTAGCGATCTCCATTCAATCCAGATCGAGATCCAGATCCAAAATGTTTTTCTTTCGCGGCAATAACAATCGACTGTAAACATTATTGGCAGTGGTGCCAGATTTGATTACAAAATTTGCTTGTCATGCGGCGGAAGGGTGTTTGCATTTCAAGTGTGTCGAAGTGTTTTTTTCTGTGGGTGTTAGCACAGAGTGACTTACCCCTTTGGGCCTAAGTGATGTTCGATCAAATTAAAACGCATATCTTTTTGTTTTCTAAGATAAAGAGGTGATAAACCGTAAAGTAAGTTTTTATTTCAATCATTTCTTTTTGTGTGTGAAATATTATGCGCGCATCGAGTAGGTTATCGTCTGTCTTGCGTCTTGCAGGATGTGAATATCTAGCTCTTCACCATTCTCTTCTGCTGTTTTTGATAAATCCGGATGCACGCTATTACATCTTATTATTTTTTTCTTTTTCTTTTCTAAACCACACGTACAAAGTCTTGCTTTTAATTCTATGCATGTAAGTGTTAATGTACAGCTATAGTAATAGTTTTTAATAGTAATATAATAGTATTAGGTATATGATTAGCAAATCACGTACATACGGTCATCAATAGTCAGGATTTTCTACTCACTGTCGTTGATTTTCACCAGATAGGTTCAGTAGTAAATGGGCCTCTTAGCCGTATTGTTTTTTTTTATCTGTTAATGTGTGTGTGTGTGTGTGTTTTCAGTTTGTCCAAATTTGAGTGCTGGATAGTCTTTTAGGGACGTCTATAGTTACTCAATCGTTTCGGATATTCTATTGCATTTGTTTTGCTCTACTAGAGGGATATTTTCATCTTCTGTCTCTTAAACGTTACCACCTAATATTGTATGCATTTTTAGGATTATCACTAAAAACACATCGTAATCGGTATTGTTAAGTTTTTTTTTGTTTGATAATAAATGTTTGTCTCCTTCCTTGTAAATTCTTAGTTTCATACGATTTATAATGGGTGGAGAACGGCTTCAGTCCCCCGAGACACTATTCCAAGTACTGGATATTTCAAGCTGAACAATGCATTAGGTCCTAAGTAACATTGACAGATTCTTTTCGTCGACTCTCGGCCATGTTAAAACATTCCCAGCTATTTTCAGCACACAGATCGATGAAAGAAGCTATTATCCAGCTTCTAATACTACAAACGCGGTTATGTACCCAAGTTATTAACGGAAGAGAAAGACGATAAAGAGAATCGATCAATGTTACTTCGAACCTAATGCATTGTTCTGCGTGATTTCTAAGAAAATTAATCAAAGATCTATCCAAAAGATGCTTTATGATGTGAGCCATCATACTGAAAAATAAATGTGCGTTGTAAGTTATTGTGTACCCCATGCTTGGAATAGGGTCTCGGGGGCGGGTCGAAGCTGTTCTCCACCCAACTGCATTCTCTCGTCGTCTAATAGTTGAAAGAATTTTATTCTTATGCAACTTATTGAAATGTTGATTTTTATAACATTCGCTCTTTTTTTCATATCGCAGATTAATCATACGTGCTAATAGGGGGGAAAAGTAACTTAAAATTAAACTATAGGATAAAATTCGACGCAAAGAAACATTAAAGTACTGAAATAAACAAATGGAATGACGGAAATTGAGGTTATGTACGATGCAAACCGCCATAACCTCAACCACCAGTCTTTACCAGACGGTAGATGGCTCTCGAAAAGGGGTTTAACATATATGTATCAAACTTAAACCCACGTACGCGATAGGGTATATCCTCTAAATACTTCCAGAAACTCACGTCACATCAGAAAACGGCTTACTCGCTATCCGAGTCATCACAGAAGTGCATGCGGTAGTTTTTCCGAACACGGGCAACCTTCTGATGGAATAGCTTGGTGCCCAAATCGTTGCCAGCCGCTTGGCTGCCGCTCGTTCCGGGCAGTGCTTCCAGGTAGTTCCCATTGCTACCAGCGCCGTCCGGAGTTCCACCGGGAATCGATTTCGCCCCGGATGGCATCCCATTGGTCGATACGGAACTGCACGGTCCCGTAGCGATTCCACTGTCCGGCGTGTGGTTTAGCAGTTCCCGGTTGTAGTCGGGGAACTTCCGGCCGCTAGATCCGCCTGGTTGGTCCTGATTGCCGGCCGCGTGACCATTGCTACTGCCGGTGGCAACCGCCGATGCTATCAATTTCTTCTTGTTGTTGAAATAGTCCAGGAAGCTGTCGTTACTGGAGGAACAATCGTAATCGTAGCTGCTGGATAGGCGCGAGTTGGATCGACTCGAGTAGGTGTGATCGTACACCTGATTGTACGAAGAGGACGACTCATTCTGGTCCTGACTGGTAGCGGTGGCGGTGGCCGCCGGCGCTTGGTGGGATCGCTTCTGTCCGACTCCACTGGAGCCATTCTGGATTGCATTGCTGATGCTGATGTTTCTATTGCTAAGGTTGATGCTGACTCTATTGCTAGTGCTGTTGTTGTGGTTTACGTAGCTACTGTTGTTGTTGCTGTGATCTAGGATGTTGTTGTCGTTATGGTCTACGGCTAGCACCGCAGTTGAATTCGATGGGATTTCGAAGTGGTTGATCGGAGACGTGATCACCCGGAGCATGTTGTCCGGCGAGGCCGGATGTTCCGGGATCGATGGGTCATCGTCCGAATCGTCGTCGTCGTCGTTGGTGGTGGTCGACGCAATGTGGAAGAGCAGATCTGGAAGTGAAAAGTGATCACAGATCGGTAAGTACGGGTGACAGGATGTTCCTGTCAAGCCCCCTTGCGAAAAGAAAGCGAGGGTTGTACTCCCCCATTAATTCTATCAAAACAAAGTAGTCATTCCATGGCTGACCCCCCAGTTAACAGTCAATCCCCAGAACCAGTGATGGATCGCTCCTTTGGGACTTCTTCATTACTTTTTAATTTAGAAGATGGATTAACTGAAAATTCAGTTGGATTTCACGCAAGCATTCTATACTAAAAAGTAATGAAAAAGTCTCAAAAGAGCGATCCACAAACATCAACCAAAACCAAAATCTACTCACTTCTTCCATTCCCGGTCAGTCCCGTGCTCGTGCTGGGCGTATCCATGCCGGTGTATGTGCTACTCCTGCTACTGCCAGCGACTCCACCACTCCTGCCAGCTTTACACAGTCCACTCGGGCCGGCTCCATTATTGAACCCACTGCCACCCACTCCCGGTAACCCCCTGGACGTCGACGGCAAACTGCCCATGCCGTCCCCGCCGCTCAGCTTAAGCTTCTTCGCCGCCGAATGTTGCTGTTCACTATCATCCGCATCGTCGTCATCGTCCGAGCTGGATTCCTCGACCCGTGTACTCGTGTTCGAAGTGGACGACGGAGTTCCCTTGGATTTCCGCCGGAAAGTCCTATAGACCGCCAAGTTCAAATTCGTAGTCTGCAGTCGACGCTTCTTCGTCGACTTGGGAACTTCCGAATCGCTCGTTTGCTCGTGCGAAACCGGTCGTTTACTGTACTTGCTGGTGCTCAACCGTCGGTTCCGTTTGCCGATTCCTTTCCTTGTCGTACGCAACGCTCCCAAGCCCGGCCGTTTCGGTTGATTCCTCAGCCCATACTTGCCCTTCGTAATCGTGCGGCGGTTCAGCACCCGCGTGTTTGCCGTTTTCAGCGCCAACCGTTTCAAACGATTCCGCTTTGTGGCGATCAGATATGCAATCCGGTTGCGATACTTTGTCCGCTGAGCCACGTCCCCCCTCCGGTTTGGATGCTGACCTCGCAGCGGAATATAGTTCTGAACCGACTCCGTATCGGACGTCTGCGTCGTATCCGGTCGGGACGACTCGTTCTCATCCGAACTGTGTTCCGATGTCTGATCCGAAGTCTCGGTATTCCACCCTTCGATCTCCTGCTGAACCAGATAGTCGAAGAATGCCATCATCCGTGGATCCTCCAACGTCGACTGGTGACTGTAATCGTGAGTCATGTTCAATGAAATGTACTCCTCGTTGGTGAACACCTCCCGTGGATTCTCTGGCCCCGTTGCTTCCTCAGTCAAACTTCCACGCCACGAGGTCAGCTCGAACGGGGTCCACAGCTTCACAATTTTCTCCACCCCGGACGAAGCAATCAGACACTTCTGCGGATTGTAACGCACCTGATTCACAATTGACCTGTGCCCATACAGAACCATCTGGTTCTGATCCACCCACTGGTCCGTATCGGTCACATCGGCATCCGTCACCCGCCACACATACAAATTGAAATCATCCGACCCGGACAGCACAAACTGATCATTCTCTCCCGCGAAGCAGCAGCTCTTCATCGTACAGGAATTGTAGTAATCCTGATGGTAGAACTGGCAAATCGGTTCCGGTGAACCCGTCGAGTACAGTATCGGTGGGAGACGCCTTCGCAGTGCCAGCACCTGCGTTCCCAAGCTATTGAACCGTACACTCATGCAACTCTGAGCGGCATTTTCCCCTCCGAAGCGGATGGTTGGCATCTTGGGTGCCCGTAGATCCCACAGCGATGCCCCTTCCTTGGCGTTTGCCGTCACGATGAAGCCTGCGTCCAGCGGATGATGCATCACGGCATGGTACGGCGAACGGCACCGCGATACGCACATCACATCCGAACCATCCCGCAGATCGAAGATCAGAATCTTCCCGTCCTCGCCGGCCGTGGCGAAGATGCTATCATTCGAAGGATCTATCGATAGGCCGTAGACCGGTTTGCTGTGCAGGAACACGTCTACCGATTCGCGTCTGCGGGAAGAAAGAAATCGAAAGGTCAATTGTATGGATACAATCTTGCACGCCAGACTATGACGTAGGTACTAACGTTTTTGTGTCGTGCACGATGACGACATCGTCGTTTCCGCCGGAGAAGATCCGACTGTTGTGGCCATCGATACCCAGGCAGAAGATGTTGCTCAGGTGTTGCTTGTTCATGGAAATCGGGGATTCCTTCTCCAGTATGGCTTTGTCCACGTCCCATAGCAGAACGCGCCGATCGTCTCCACCTGGTGGATAGAAGTATTGCGGGAAAGATTGTTAGAAGTGGGTGGAAATAGGTCGGTTAGCTGTATGACTGACGCATAACGTTTTCGCTCGGTGTATGATGTATAGTAAAATGAAAAGTTGAATCGAACCCAGTGGCGAAATTCGTATAACTTCTCGTCCACCAATAGATGGCTTCCTCTCAAATTGGCCGCTTAACCTGTATGGGAGGCAATTAAACTTAAGAATTCCATAACTTATGAACCAGGAAAATTTTATTTTCATAAGCACTTGTGAATTACATAAACACGACTTATGAATGATTGTCATAGTACATTAGGTGGATCTTATACGCCTTTAGTCTATCCGATTTCTCAAGCTTTGATAGACGTGAGCGCCAATCACGCTTCATTGTTTAATAACGATCGTTTCAGCCTCTGGTGGTGAAGAGTGGAACTCTCAAAAGAGTTACAAGGGTTGAAATTTTCGTTGTTTTGACTTATGAATTATGTTTCTTTGGTCAAACTTATGATTTCCATAATAAATCCTTGTGGCAAAGAAACATAAGTGGTTCTTATGTAATTCTTATGTTTATTTGCCTCAGTGTAGAAGTGCTTCAAACTTCTTCTGATTTTCATTCCCAGGGTGACGGGAAAAATAGGATTCTGATCATTGGAATGCTTTCAAGGCCCTTGGACTGGACTAGATTTTCTGGATTCTAGGGACTACACAAAGGTTTTTCATGATTAACGGCAAAACAGTTTTGACTGACTAGAACTCACAGGCAATTGTAAAAATAATTCCAAGACAATTGTGAGAAGAGCTTCAGGTGATATTTAAGGAGAGTTTTGAGTAGCAATTTTAAGTGATTCTAAAGAGAATTCTATGACGATTATAAGAAAGATTCTAGGTCCAATTCTAATAAATATAACAAATAAGTTCCGAGAAAAATTCTGAAGAGGTTTCCAAAAAAATTCTCTGGAGATTTTCGATGCTTTTAAATTCTAAGGATTTTCCAATAATGACGGGGGAAAATTCTAAGGCAATTTTGAGAATAATTTCAAGTAAATTCTAAAGAGAATTCCAAGAATAATACTAAGACTTACTGAATGTTGAGGATATAATTCCCAAGGAATTCTGAGAAGAGTTTCAGAGAATTCCAAAGGACAATCGGAGAATAATTTTTAGAGAATGCTGAGGTAAATTCCAACTGAATTTTCAGAAGAATTCAGAGGAGAACTCCAAGATGTGTAATCCCTAGCAGATGTTTAAGACATTTTAGATGTGAATTGAATGGGAAAGGGAGCTTTAGTGATTTTTTAAATGAATCATTAAAAATTCTAAGATTCGGGCGAATTCAAAGTTTTCTTTTATAAAGAAAATTACAGGAGAATATCAGAGAGAATCTTATGTTCATTTTAGGAGAATTCCGAAAAGAGCTCTGTAAAGAGGAATGGTTCTATGGAAATGCTTGCGAACATTACAAATAAATCCTGTAAAAAGTTGTGAGTTGATTGTAAAGGAAGCTATAAAGATCGTTCCGATAATTATAAATACACTAACGATGAACTGTCATTTCAAACTGCGTGAAAAATTTCACAAAATTCTGGCTGCATCCTGATGTTTACATCCTACTCTAACACGTGTTGTCAGTTTTTTTTTAAATATTTTGCGAGGAAATCAAGCTGAATGGCATTAGGTCCTAAGTAAAATTGACAGATTCGCTTCGTCGAGTTTCTCTTTACATCCGCACGGCCATGTAAAGACATTCCCAGGTATTTTCAGCACACAGATCGATAAAAGAAGCTTTTATCTAGCATCTGATACGACAAACACAGCAAGAAACGGGTCTGTGATCAAGTTATTAACGAAATAGAAAGTCGACGAAGAGAATCGATCAATGTTACTGAGGACCTAATGCGATGTTCAGCTTGAAATGTGAAAATGCATGGCCTTACTCCTGAACAAAGAAAACGGATTGATCACAAATGATGTACCGTGAGTGGACATTCCTTATGAAAACTGGCTAAGGAGGAGAGTGTGAGCGTTGGAGCAGTACCAACCGCATTATGGAAGTATGAAGAATCATGCACTTTCGAAGATTCTCCAAGGCGTGGAAGAAAATCTGGCCCCGTTGACCCTGAAATCGACCGGAAGATAAGAGATCGTTTTAAGCAGTAGCCATCAGCAGCAGTGCTTGATGTGGCGAAGAAGATCGATACTTCGGCAACAAATGTCATGCGGGCTAAGAAAAGATTGGGATTGGAAACGCATCGGAATCAGAAGCAACCAAAACCAAAAGCAAACTGCATTTGTGAAGAATAGAGCTCGACGTGCAACTCGATTATCAGACTCTGCCACGACCGCAGTTATACATTTCGTTCAAAGGAAAGGATGTGCCTGAATCTGTCAAAGCCATTTACACCGAAAAATTCGACAAGAAGACCATGGTTTGGCAGACGATATGCCAGTGTGGAAAAATTTCTCGACCATTTATAACGACAGACACAATGAATGGCAAAGTTTACGTGAAGGAATGTCTGCAAAACAGATTACTACCCTTCATCAGGCAGCATGACAAACCTGTAATATTTTGGCCTGATCTGGCTTCCTGCCACTATTCCAAGGATTCGCTAGAGTCGCCAAACTGCCCTGAGGCTCGCACTATCGAAACTTCATGGGCTTTGATAAAGGCAAAGCTGAGGAAACACTGCCGTACTCTAACGGAACTATCAACTCTATACTTTCATGTGTCAAGTCGACGATGTCAGGATCACATACCGTGCTAAAGAGGGATGATTAAATCGATTTGTACCTTCTTAAAAGTTGTCCTTGCTCGCTTTCTACTCTCTATATACAATTTTCACACTGCCGTACTCTAACGGAACTATCAACACTATACTTCCATCTTCTCATTTATCGTAGAAACATTACCACTTTAGTCTTATATTTGAAATTAGCATCTTCAGCTTCGCAGAAGTAATACAAACATAAATATAGTTAAAGTAAAACATTACACAAATTTTATGTAATTCACTTACAAAGTGTATTTATAATTAACAGAACAGTCTATAACCCAAGTAACAAATATTCATGGAATTATGTTGAATTAATTTCTTTACAACCCAAAACCAGTCATACAAAGGTTATACAAACTGGTTATAGAACTTGTGTGTTGCTTGGGAATAGTCATGATCCATTAACCTAGTGACTTCTTCGACTTAATTGCATTCGATGTTATGCTTAATTTAAATTAATATTGCGCAACTGGAAAAATTGCCATAATTCAGGGAATAAAACGGGGAATTTGATAATCGGTATTTGCGAGTCACCATGTCATTAAGGTGAAAGTTAATGCTTTTCCGTTGATACTGAATCCACACCCAAATTCAAAATGCACCAATACCAACAAACATTGCAAAATAGGAAAATGAAAAGTATCGAAATTTTGACCGTATTCGTAAACACAATATTATTGTATGATTATAATAATTCTACTACTGAAATGACAACTTCAATTCAACGATTCCAAGTTCAGGGAAGTCCTGCTAATGTTCAACCGTAGTTCAGGGAAGGTCTGCCGAACTTCAGCGACGTCCTGATGAAGTTCAGGGAAGCCATGCCGAAAGTTCTTCCGAAGTTCAGGAAAGTCCTTCCGAAGTTCAGGTAAGTCTTGCCGAAGTTCAGGGAAGTTCTGCGAAAATTTAGAGAAGTTCTGTCGAAGTTCAGGGATGTTCTGCCGAAGTTCAGGAAAGTTTTGCCGAACTTCAGGGAAGTCCTACCAATGTTTAGGAAAATCCTGCCGAAGTGATTTATTAGATTTTTCGACTGGTACGTATGGAGATTTCTTTTATATGGCTTTCTCAGTCTAGGGTAATCCAAACAGGGAAATGAAAAATTGACTGTTTGGATCACCCTAGATTGAGAAAGCCATATAAAAGAAATCTCCTGCCGAAGTTCAGAAAACTTCTACCGAATTTCAGGGAAGTCTTGCCAAAGTTCAGGGAACTCCTGCTGAAGTTCAGCGAAGTCCTGCCGAAGTTCAGAGAAGTTCTGCTGAAGTTCAGGGAAGTCCTTTCATTTCAATTCTTGGAAATCAGGGAAGTCCTGATGAAGTTCAGGGAACTCATGCCGAAGTTCAGGGAAGGCCAGCCGAACCTCAGGAAAGTCCTGCCGTAGATCAGAAGGCCTGTCAAAGTTCAGGGAGCTCCTGTTGAAGTTCAACGAAGTCCTGCCGAAGTTCTGATTAGAGAGGCCTCTGGCCACTTGCTTCAGATTGTGCAGAATGTTATGTAACCTGCACACCCTCCATGCGTTGATCTACGATCACTACATAGCAGTCTTCTGCAATCATTCGTGACTTGAGACTTACCATCCGCACCTCGATTGCGCTTGAATACCTGCTTATAGCTGACCCCAAGCAGCATTGCAAGTTTTATCGAGGTTTTAAAGCATTCTATAAGTCTAAATTGTGGTCTACAGAACCCTCATAAAACCATAATTGTTACTTGGGACGGACAGCCTTTAGCCGTTTCAATCCCAATTTTTTTCTAAGACTTATTTTAAGGATTTTTTTACGTTTTTCGTTAGAATTCAGCTATAACTAGTACAAAAACAGAAATATCCGAAATTATTTTTTCGGTGGTCTAGGTTGTCCAATTTATTCTGAAGTTCAAACCTTTATCTTTTCCTTCGAGACTTTATTCAAAGATATGATCTTGATCTTGATCTTGATTGACCGCCCACGGTTGCTACTCTGTTATTGCCAGATCAGCTGTTATTACACAGAGAACCAATAGACGATGCTTGGGACTAGTAATCATCATCAATGTGTGAAAACTGGTGATCTTAAATTAGGCATTACCAGCGCGGGCCGCGCCCGAACACAGGTCAAGAAAGGAATGGGAAGGATTGTGTTGACATGACACTCGCTTTGATGGAAGCCGAGAACACCTCTGCACTTCCACGAGGAATCACTGGGATGTTGGATAAGAGGGTTGGGTTTGCAGCAGGGTTCGTTTTG